ATAAATTACCAGTGCATATAAATGTATAATACACACTATATAGACCGAGATATTCACAGAGCCTACTTCTGATGTTGGTTTTAACAGGAAAAAAAAGATCGAGATATTAATGAATTATACTATACTATAAAGTCAAAGGAGAACCGTGTTAAAATTGTACGGGCCGTTTCCGCGGCTTCAGTGTCGGCCTGGCCATGGATACTAAGCCGGCCCCGGACCGTATTTGTGTCTAGCGGCCCCGGATATTAGACAAAAAAGTCCGGGGAAAAAAAGACCGAGGAAAAAAAGTCCGAATCAACGAAAAAAAGTCCGGGAAAAATTATTTAAATATAAATTAATTATTAAATTAAAAGAAAATTGGTTCTTAAAAATTATTAAACAAAAATGTTTTATTAAGCTTAGTTATTATTTTCAAATAATATGTTTTAATCGCTCTGTACCTATACTCAAATTTACTTACTATAGAGTATAGACACAGGTTTATAACCAATGATATCTCAATTAGGGTTGTATTTCCATATAAAACTAACGAGTAACATTACTATACTTATCTAGTATACCTATACGATATATATATATAGCACTAGTAGTCAACCGCGTGTCATAGGCCATAGCAGTGTTAACAGTAATAGTGAAATACATACTTTTATAATAATGGATAGTGTAAAATTAATAAAAAATGGTAAAAAAATTATTTGTGGTGGATTTGCATATATAATCCAGAATAAACTAGTAAAAAGCATAAGATGGAAATGTTCCCAGAAGTCTTCGAAAAAATTTCCTGGTATATTGACTACCAACAGAGGTAAATATTACCTGTAAAAAAAAAACTGGTAAATTCATCGGTAAACTTACTAGGTATAAATTTACCGATCATACATAACTATACCTATTACATTATTATAATACAGCATTGCGTACTGTTTATAATTTTTAACCTGGTTTTCAATGATTACATTCTTTGACAAACAAGACTATATAATATATTATTGTTGCGATTCTCTGAAGTGTCTTAGACTCTTAGCTATTAGCTGGAAAACTATCTAAAACGTTTTTACTTGTTATATCAGATGTTGCCGGTGATACCCTATGTTTTACCAATTACAATTTGCAAGTGCATATAATACACATTATTCAGTATTCACTACTACACTAGATAGAGGTATAATGTATTATACTAGGTACTATAAAAGTCAAAGGAAACCATGTTACATTTGTACCAATAATATAAATTATAGGTATTATATTTTATCATAATATTCTAAACTACAATCATCTGTGATGAATAAACACTACATTAAGTAGAAAGAGGTAGGTAGCTAATACATTTTAGTATTTTACGAAATAGACAAAAAAATAACGGATAACATAGTTCGGTGAATTAGATACCTACACTCACGATATAGTTTGAATAGTTTGCTAGTTCGATAGTTAGGTATAGGTACTATTCGAGTGTTTATAATTTTTTTCAATTTTGCATTGTATTTGCGCGTAAGTAATGATCTATAAAAGTAAATTTCTTTATCATTATTTTAAGTGTTAAAAAACAAATCGATTATATAAAAAAAAATTATTTTTGCAGCGTTTTTAAACTTAATATATAGTACTAGGAATATTGTACCGGGGGGTACAAATATCCTAGGAAAATCATACCCCCCTCCCGGTATACTATGCCTAGGATATTCTTACCGGGGGTAAGATTATACTAGGAAAATCTTACCCCCTATGGAGGTATAAATGTCCTAGGATATTCTTACCGGGGGTAAAATATGACTAGGATAATCGTACCCCCTCCCGGTAAGATTATACTAGGATATTCTTACCGGGGGTAAGATTATCCTAGGTTATTTTTACCCCCCTGGGGGGTATGATTATCCTAGGATAATTTTACCGGGGGTAAAAATAACCTAGGAATATCTTACCGGGGGTAAAATTATCCTAGGAAAATCTTACCCCCCCCGGTAAGAATATCCTGGGGGTAAGATTTGCCTGTTACACCGGGACATAATATTCACTTCAAGGATATCCAACAATCGTTTCTGTATTTTTTTTTCAAGCAAAGAAGTACTCGATACACTTCTTGAAAAATCCAAAACGATATCAATAAATGAACACACTATCCCTATTCGCAGATTGATTAATCCAGCCAAAAAGATCACGATATCAAATGTGTGTCCATCCATACCTAACATAATAATTCTCAACGCATTAAAAAACATCAATATATCTCCAGTCTCACAACTAAACCATATAAAAGCCGGCATCAATATTGCGGGATACGAACATATCCTGAGTTTCCGCCGCCAAATGTTTATAAATCAAGAAGATATCACCAAATTACCTGGGTCGTTAGTTATTAACTTTAACCAAACCTCATTTAGAATCTTTTTTACTGACGACAAAATCACTTGTTTCCTATGCAAAGAGGTGGGTCACACTTCTGCGTCATGTAAAAAACAAATTTCTCATAACAGCCCAATTGCAACCGTTGATGATCATACTACAGAACTACTAGAAGATATTCAGCTTCCTGAATTACCTCCAATAGACACAACCCAACCACAAAGTACCATGGACTGGAATCAGGAAAACAATGATATAATTTCATCCCAACCCGTAGCAAATACTAAAACATCCCATGTAACAATGAAAACACCAATCACCACTCAAGCCAAAAGACCTCTATCGGATACAAATACAATTAAATCTCCCACCTCCCCTACAGCACCAGGCAGCCCTATGCCTTTCATTCAACCTGAAAAAAAAAAAGCCAAAACCAGCCGCTCTAGATCCAACTCTCTCACTTCCACCGACGACAACAAAATCAACACCTCGCTTGAACCTACAGTCGCCTTTTTCAGCGACAGTGAGAATACCTCAATCACCCTGGACCAATTTAAATACTTTTTGGAAAATATTAGAAATCCTAATATTAATATATACACATTATGCGACGAAATTAATTCCAACATCTCGGACATGCTCGACTTGACGGAAAAAATATACCCTCTAATTACAGATCGTGCAATGAAGTCCAAAATAAAAATTTTATCCAACTTATTGTTTAAGACCCTTCCTCCCAACTAATTCAACCAAATGAATAAAAGGATTCCTATTTTTCTACATCACTAATATGCTTGCAAATAATACTTACTTCAATCATCATGAGCTTAAACATCATTCAATGGAATATAAACGGATTAGTTAAAAAACTAAGCAACATTCAAATACTAAACCACAAATATAACCCCATTCTTCTTTGCCTACAAGAAACCAATCTCAAAGATTCATATATCCCTTTTTTTAAAAACTATAAACTCTACTACTCAAATCGTACAAGGTGTGATAGGGCGAGCGGTGGAGTGGCAATATTGGCTCGTACCGACTACCCCACAACACTAGTACCAATACAGTCCACTCTTGAAGCAATCGCTATAACTATTCAACTCGAATCCAGCATCACCATCTGTAATCTGTACATTCCAAACCAAAAACCTTTCTCGTCCTCAGACATAGAAAATTTAATCAAACAACTGCCTCCCCCTTTCTTATTGGTAGGAGACTTCAACAGTCATAGTGAAAACTGGGGATCCGAAAGAACCGACCCCAGAGGCAAAGAAATTAACAAAATCTTGGAGAATGACAACATAGTCCTTCTTAACAACGGGGATTATACTAGACTCAACCCAGCAACCGGCCTATTCTCAACCATCGACTTATCCCTGTCAAGTACATCACTAGCCCAACGAATCTCATGGACAACTCTAGCAGAGATACACGATAGTGATCACATACCCATTAAAATGGAACTTCTAACAAACAAAACGTCCCCCTGCAAGACCATTCCTAAATGGAAAATCAAAAATCCCAACTGGGATATCTTCACACAACTAATCGAAACCAATTTATATACGAACACTCCACCAACGGACTGCTCAATTGACATCGATGTTACTCACATATCTGAGACAATAATAAATGCAGCCAACATGGCAATAGGCAAAACCAAAATTTCAACAACAAAACCCAACGTCCCGTGGTGGAACTCTGAGATTAAAGAAGCAATCAAAAACAAAAACAAAGCACTAAAAACCTTCCAAGTCTCAGGAAAAATTGAAGATCATATAAAACTGAAACATTTAAGGGCAAAGACCAAATATCTTGTAAAAAGGAGCAAAGAGAAGTCTTGGAAATCCTTCACTTCAAGCATCACTCCCAAAATCGACTCTAGCATAATCTGGAGCAAAGTTAGATCCTTGCGTGGTCAAAGTAGAGAAAAACACACCCATTTAATCATTGACAACACAATACACACAAACCCTATTGATGTGGCCAATCACCTCGGAGTCTCCTTCCAATCAAACTGCTCTGATGACAATTACGACATGAACTTTGTGACTAACAACATCCAAAACAGAAACAGTCAGTATATTTCCAACATTGATCCTGCTTTACAAGACCAGGTACATCTAAACCTTCCGATCTCTCTTAAGGAACTAAATTGGGCGCTGAAAAAATGTTCCAGTCTCTCCCCAGGCCCCGATGATATTCCGTACATATTCTTACACAATTTACCTCTTTCAGCACTCACCTACCTTCTTCACATCTATAACAAAATCTGGAACTGTGGTAAGCTCCCCATATCCTGGAAACATTCAATAGTGGTTCCTATACTAAAACCCGGTAACGACAAATTCAAATCAAACAGCTACAGACCCATCTCATTATTAAATACCATGTGTAAACTGCTTGAAAAAATCATCGATATTAGATTGCGTTGGTTTTTAGAAAAAATAAATTATCTTATTCCTCAACAAAATGGTTTTCGAAAACATAGAAGCACTTACAATTCTCTGCAGGACATTCAAGATAACATTCAAAAAACATTCAAAAACAAACAAGTCCTAGGACTAGTTGCACTAGATATAGCCAAAGCCTACGATACAACCTGGAGACCAGGCATACTGCAAAAACTTAGTAACATCCTATGTAATGGCAGAATGTTCAATTTCCTAAAGGATTTTTTATTGGATAGATCATTCCAAGTGAAAATCAACAATTATCTATCCCCCACCTTTATTCAACAAAACGGTGTCCCTCAAGGGTCTACTATATCAGTTACTCTATTTCTTATCGCCATCAACGATATTTGCGAGAATATTAAGTTTCCGGTTCAATCTACACTTTTTGCAGACGATTTAAATATCCTCTGCAGAGGAAAAAACCCAAATTCCATCCAATCAGCCCTACAGGATACACTTGACTCACTATTAAAATGGTCCACTAAAACCGGCTTCACTTTCTCCGCCACAAAATCTCGCTGCACGCTCTTTACCAGGCTCAGAAAATATAACAATTTAGAAGTAAAGTTAAACAACATACCAATACCATATACTAAAATCATTAAGATCCTCGGAATTACTTTCGACAAAAAGAATACATGGCAGGCCCACTTAAAAGATATCAGAAAAGCAACTCTAATAAAATTGAACATCATCAAATCATTAGCTCACACCTCGTGGGGAGCAAACGGAACCACTCTTAAACAAATATATAAATCTCTCATTTTATCTAAATTAGAATATGGTGCTTTCATCTACATTGACGCTAAACAATCTGCACTCAAAATGATAGAGACTATTCATAACTCAGGTCTAAGACTTGCCACAGGTGCATTCCGTTCCAGCCCTATCTCAAGCATTCTCAATATTGCAAACACACTTCCTCTTGACCTAAGGAGAATGCAAAACTCCACACTTCAAAAGGCTAGAAGAATACATAATAACACTACCTCTAACTTAGAAAATACAATAAAGCTCAACAACTTCAAGTTCAATTGTTCAGGAGTACTTAAACACGAGCATGCTATCACTCCTCCTTGGGTGATGGAACTTCACTCTAATACTGATCTCTCTCAACACATCAAAAGTGAGACTATGGACTATACTTTTAGAAATCTGACACTTTCATTACTTGAAGACTATCAGGATTACATCAAGTTTTACACCGACGGTTCCAAAACTGAAGCAGGAGTTGGGGCATCGGTATACTTCAACAATACACCAAAAATGATCAAATTTCCTGACTTCTGTTCAATCTACACAGCAGAAGCTTATGCGATTTATCACGCACTTGAAACAATTCAACAACTCAAAATTGATAAAGCGCTCATATTAAGTGACTCTCTTAGTACTATCAACAGCATAAGCAACATAAACCAACCCAATGCCATATCCAGAATGATTCAAAATCAAATTTCCCTCCTAAATCACAACAATCAAAACGTGTTACTGGTATGGATTCCTAGCCATATCGGAATCCCTGGCAACGAAACAGCAGACACCTACGCTAAAAGAGCCATAACCTCCCCCGAAGCCTCCTTAGTGCAAATCTGCTCCCTGGGCGATATCAAGGGAGTATTACAGTCCCTGACGCTGCAACAATGGCAGCATCGTTGGACATCATCACTCACGAAATTAAATGTTATCAAACCTTCCATCAACCCTTGGCCAACACTCACCACCAAGAGACGTCATGAAGTCATAGTCAACCGACTTAGAATCGGCCATACGTGGCTTACACATAACTTCCTCATGAGACATGAAGATCCAACCCAATGCACAACCTGCGGGGAAATCATCACCGTCGAACACGTTCTTCTTCACTGCCGGAAATACGCGGATACCAAAACCTCTCTAAATATCCCGGACCACCTCTACGAAATACTCGGACCCGACCTCAAAAACTTCAATAACACCCTAATGTTTTTACAGCAAACAAAACTGTACAACCTTATTTAATTACATTGTTCTTTTTTTTTTCTATTCTATTATTTATCACTATTTTGTACACCCTTAAACTTAGGATTAGTAATAACCATAATTTTTTCATATCCAAAAATGTAAAAATGTAAATACCGTAAGCCAATAACCTTTGTTGTTGAGGCTCTAAATAAACAAAAAAAAAAAAAAAAAAAAACGTTATAATTTAAAGTGTAATATTATTAGATTACTATAGAATACAGATTATAATTATTGCTCATCATTTTAGATGATTTAATAATAACATGTTATCTTGTTTTTCTTAATTTATTGTCAAGAGAGTTTTTTCGTAATACTAATTACTTGGGGAGTTAATGGCCAATGTAAGCTAAAGCTTCAGTTATGTCTAAGAATGTCATATTTTTTTTATTTTTTTTATTGAACAAAAATTTATAATTACAATCTGTATCCACAAGTTATATAATAAGTAAATCGGATGTTGTTTGATACTTTGATTGACTGGATGGTTAGGTTAGGAAGTCACCCAGTGGCAGCACCCCTAAAGAATTGTCACATATAAATTATTAATAACATATAAATCGTTGATACGAATATAGTTGGTAGAAAAATGTGAAATGTATGAAACTCCTTCTCATTATATATTATTGGCTATATATCTATTTATAGGTACAAAGTAATTAACCAACAAAGTCTTACAATCCTATTATTTTTATAATTGGCAACACAGTAGCCTTTTTTTTTTTTTTTTTTTTATAAAAAGTGTTTATTGTATGATTGATACTGATAATTGTGTCTGGACAATAAAAGTAACAATGAAGACGAGCGTGATTCGATTGACAAATTGGAAAAATGTCCAATTAAAACAGCACGTCGTAATTTATTGAACTAAATTCCTAATATGGCAACTTAAAAAAAAATCCGTCCACTGGATTATACAGGGTCATAAACATTTTGTAACCCAACGTTTGGATAATCATGTATATAAATAATATTTACATGACGTTCATGCGTGTAAATTAATCTCACGACATCCTCAAAAAGAACGCCCCCTTTTGCGAAAGTTACCACCCTAAATAGTAAATATTATGCCTATATTTTTGTTTTCGTTTGTATAAAATAATATATGTGTATCCATTTGTATCTTATTATTTTATGCACATACACTATTATATTATCATTATTATGGTCGTCCAAAGATTTTTTTATCATTATTTTAATAGCAGGATTTTTAACCACGAAGAAATAATTTATGAGAATAATTTTAAAAGAGTTGGACCACAAAAGAATAGTGTTTCGTGGCACATAATATTATTATACAAACCGTTTTTCGAGTGAAAATTAATTTACACCCTACATTATTGTACTTGTTTACACGAGTAACCGTCGCCCGATTGCCGGATATGCATTAAAAAAATCTAATTTATTTCATGCCACTGTGCGTTTTATTAATATACTGATAATAATAATACATTCAATATGGAATTAAAAGCTTAATCATCCCGATTAAACGAAACACACGTACACGTAAGTATTTATGTTCGTGTGTGTATATACAATAATAATTACAATTTCGATGGGTTTCCAAATAGAGATGTGAATTTCATAAATTCTGCTCCGATTACAATCTGACCATCAAACCACAAAATACATACATACAATGTACATGATAATATTTAAAAAATATTTTGATTGTTTTATATATTTTAGGAGGGTGTTTTTATACAGTATACATCTGACAGTGTATTTTTTTTTCTGGGACCTTAATAGGACAACATAAGCTCGTTAGAGTCGATTTGTATCCAAGATCTATGTATGTGCGCATTTATTTATTTAATTAATAGTTAATAGAATAAACACCATTCAAATTTTTACAAAGGTAACATAGAAGTATAATAACAAATGAGTGAAATAAAGGTAATAGGTAATTTTATTAACATTCAAACAATATAAAAATAGAAGATTCTTGGGTTCCGGCCTGTATCTTATAAAAAAAAAAAAATAAAATGAATAAATACAAAATATTGCAAGTTTTGATAGCGTTGCATTCGTGGAAAAGTTAGTATAATATCTGGGGGATAAAAAGAATCTTGAAATCTGATATTCCTAGAAATTAGGATGCTCAGATGTTCAATCATTCTTGGAGCATATCAACACCCTTGAGTGTCCCTCGAATGAACAATTCGATATGAACCTATTTCCAAATTTATTTGGACTATCGTCAAGCAAATCGAGTTGAAGGACATGACTCTTAACTGTGTTCTGGGCCAGTAACCTTTAGGCAGTGACCCGTGAAACTATGTACCTGCTATAAGAAAGGCGAAATTGTTGGATTTCTCAAACGAAGCAGACAATGTAAAGAGTAAACATAAAAACAAAATATGGTTAAAATTCGATGTTTTGCTGAGAATTGTTTTGTTATTCTACCAGAAATCATCTAAAAGACTTGATTCGTATAAAAAAAATCTTCATAATATAAAAATTAGCATCTTTTTAGAAATAAACAAAGTCCATTTACCGCAGTCCAAAATCGATCGTATTTTTACCTTACAATTACGGGGTACTCGCATTTATCTCCTTTAGTAATTTATTTTTCACCATCAGTTGTTATGTACACGAAATGTTTCTTTCAAAAAACGATTAAACGCAAGTAGATAAATTCAGCCGTATGAATAAAATATAAATATTCATATATTCGCGGTAAACAGCTTCGATTATACAGGTGCCCGTGCACCATACTATATATTAGACCCGGGACGTCTTCTGGGTTCATCAGAGGAAAACAATTATTCTGTGGAGAAAATCAAAACAAAACCAAATCGAACGGCATTAATGTTAACGATTTAAATACGTATTGCAATAGTGCTTATATTATAGTCGTCGGCAGATCAATGACTATCTTTAGACTTTACGTGTTTATTATATTATTATGACTACGTACAATTGTATTATAGATATACTCGCATGTACATTTATAACTATTTTATGACATTTGCTGACAGACTATTTTTTTTCTAGCTTTAAATTAAATTGTTAATTAAATTCCATCCGACGAAATTAAAGCATATCTATATTATAACAAATTTCGATTATTTCGAGTGTCTGACCTAATCTATAATATGAATTATCTACTAGACTGTTATTAACCACGTTAATTACATAAAATATAGTATACGCAAGACAGTAAAATATTCACGTAATCTTTAAAGCGTATGCTTTTATTTTCATATAGTAGAGGTTTCACAAAATATATCTACAGTCTACACTGTACGCATATCCAGCGCTCGGGTTTACCCGTTTCCGTAAAAATAATATTGCCCAGTTCCACCAGTCCTTTTCCGAAAAAAAAAAAGAAAAAGGGTACGATTCCAAAAAAAGTTTGGTAACCAATGACTCTAATTTTTAAGTAATGCAAATAATAACATTGTTATATAGATAGTATCTAGATACATTATTATAATGCAGTAAACACGAATAGTACAATACGAAAATAATCTGAAAACTGTACAATAGTATACGTATACACTATTCAGTAGGTATAAAGAGATATAAATAACGGAAATATAAACTGCATCACAACCATCAAGATATTCGTCAAAGATTTAGAAAAATAATATAAGCTAAGATTCATCAATTAAACTTTTATAGTGTTAAAATTCAACTGATGAATCTACTGACTATAATCATTTATGTTAAAACTATGATCTATTTTTATTATTTGACTTATCAAATTGTCTATGACGTTTTTAAATAATTTAGTAATCTTAGCAGCGCAACATTAGCAAACATTTTTTTGGTAAACTGTTGGACATTGTTGGATCACATTCAATTTGTTTGAACTTTATTTTCAACAGGGGTAAATTTAAAAATTTCTGTTTCCAAGTTTATTCCAATAGCGAAAGTGTTTGTTAGAGCACGTTGTTTATGCTAAACATGTTGCTCTCGAATTGCTGGCCAACTTTATGATGGTCGAGTGGACCATGTACTAGCTGTAATAAAGACAACTTATTTCACAAAGTTATACGAATAAATATAAGTTAATACGTAATGTATGTACCTAAGTCTTGTATTCACCATGGAATATAGTTGTGTAGTAACCAGAGCCCGAAGCTTTGAAAATGTCCACTTTTTTCAATGACTTTTTAATATTGTCTTGAAATTTGATATATGTCACTCAAAATTCAATGTTTGTTTTTTTTTTTTGAATTTTTCGAAAATGTTGAAAACCCAAGATTTTTAAAAGTAATTGTATCGCAGTTTAAACGTTTTTTTTACTTGTTTAGGTAATATTTCCATTATTATTGTATTTAGCTGAATTTAACGCATTATGTTGTTAATATAGATTAAAAATAGTAAATAACATGTCAATTTGCCCAATCTCTCAATTATATAATATACAAATTTTTATTTGCTTATAAAACCATCGTGTAGCCTGTATACTGGTTAGTACAAATATGTTTTTCATTATCAGCTCATATCGATATCATATATTTTCATTAAAACTTAGGAATACAAGCATTAATTGATTTTAAAAAAGAGGGAATTTCTAGTTATTTTTAAAGTAATTTTTAATGTTTTTAAGTAATTATTTTAAGGGGGCTGCAGCCGGTACCAATAATCACGTAAAACAGGCCAAAAGCTAGACAAAACTGTAGGACTTGGGTTGGACGGATTTTAATTTTGAAAACTGATTGAAAATCTTTAACAACTCTACTAAAGCATGGTCGTGAAAATTTATCATTATAACAAAAATTAATGCCGTACTTAAATATATAAAACACCAAAATTCTTATTTTGTAAATTGTTGATATCTTATCGAATAATTTGAATAAATAAAATCCCCTCGATCATTCCCTAACTAACACAATGACTAATTAATATATTTTTTCTAAATTAAAATCTGTCGTACCCAAGTCCCACAGTTTTGTCTAGCTTTTTGGCATTTTTGTCATTTGAATAGCATGAGTATATTTGATAAAATCTGTATAGTTGACATGTGCCTGCGCGTGCGAAAATTCACGGCGGCGGTCCTAATTGAAAATAAACTGCCAACATTCGATTCCTGGAATATAATATTACAAGATAAGAAAACGATTGCCGGCGGTGTGCTTAATTCTAATAAATATTATATTATTGTAATAATAATAAATATATATATCGCCCTGCGTACTTGTTTTGGTCCCCTGCCGGTACGTAATATTATTAAACGGCAAGCACAAATCATATTCTTATTTTGATTTTCGATTAGTCTGGTTAGGTAATAGTATAATGTGCAGTATCTAAAGAGAGAATTTTTATATAAAGTATTTACATATTTTTCATTTTTGGTGCTATGGACAGTAAAAGTGACTGGCATTATGGAAAAAAAACTAAGACTCTTTTATCCAAGAGAAAGAAAAATAAAGGTAACATTAATGCCCTGAATGGTTTAAAAAAAGTAAGTATTAATATTACAAATCTATTAATTACCTTAATAACGTCTTATCTTATTACCTTTTTAATTATTAATATTTATTCAATTTGTATTTTACGTGAAGTTTTAAAAATGTTTAGTATTTATAGTTTATACCTATGGGTAAGTTACTTAAAGTTGAATACAAGCTTTACCATGATTTTCCTTTGAATAATTATAAAATAAACCAAAGCGACATTACACAAAAAAAATTTATGAGCGTTTAATTTAAATTTTTACGAAATCGCGTAAAATAACTATTTATCCTCAAACGATTTTAGATATTTGTTATTACTGTTTTTGTTTTACTATGAAATATTATAGAGTATTGATACTGATAATGTGGACGATACCGTTGATACTGTACCTTCGCCTTCTAATATATTGTACCCGAAAGAAGACGAAACCGAAGCAGTGGTATTAGAATTATCAACTAGTGATAATTTGAACGACACGCAAAATGACGAGTAAGTTCATACTCGTTTTGGGCTATTTACGGACATTTTAAATTTTAAATTATTTAGTTTATTTAGTTTATTTTTCTTTACTTGTCAATAATATGTATTTATAGGATCAAAAAACTTGAAAATTGAATACAAGGCTCCTGATATATCTCTTTACAATATTAGCTGAAAAATATTAAAAATACATAAGCACAGTTTTTTTTAATAAGCATTTAAAGTTCAAATTTTGACAAAATATATATCATTCAACATTTACAAATGGTTTTAGTTTAAAATTTTTAAACTTTTCAACTTTTATAACTAATGGTTGAAAATTTAAAACTAAGTTCCACGAAAGTAGATTATTCTGTAACCAAAAAATCTAAAAATATATATGATAACCGTTGTTTGTTTTTTGTTTTTTATGTTAAAATGTGGATGAAATTACATATTAATAAATAACCAAGATTTATGCTATTTTGTTGTAAATTAAAAATATTATTATTTTGGAAAAAATGAATTAAATCTACTGCGTAGTATAGGTACTAATGCTAACTAGTAAAATAAATTACTTTCATCACAATAATATAAACAAATATACTACATTACTAAGTAATATTATAGACTGATAGACCGTCGTCGCTCAGAATCGTTTTTCTTTCGTTTACCTTAATAGATATTTTTAAATAAAGGCAGATCGTGGGTACATCCATTTTTTACAATTTTTTTGTTTTTATTTTAGGTACTTATTAAGTGGTAGACGAATCGTTGATATTGCATACTTTTTTAAATCCATTCGACGTATTAAACATAAGGGTTTCGAATGTTCATTCTCAGAAAATATGAAGTTAGTAAATGAAAAAAGAAATGGATTTTCTAGCAATTTTGTTTTTAAATGCTTAATATGTGGAGTTTTTGAAAATATTTATTCGGAAGATCCTGATAGAAAAGATTTTGATATCAATATGGCAATTACTTCAGCCGTCATTAATACTGGACAGGGATATTCGCAATTGGATGAATTTACGGCCGTACTAGATATGCCTTGTTATGCTAATAGTTCATATCAAAAATATCACGAGAAATTGTATAGTCATTTATTTGATGCTTCGTTAGATGAAATTAGACTAGCTGGAATTGAAGAGGCAAAACTTGCTATACAAAATGGAGAAGTGGATGACCAAGGTCGTGCATTAGTGACTGTTGTTGCAGATGGAGCTTGGTCAAAAAGATCGTATAAAACAAATTACAATGCTTCATCGGGTGTAGCGTCAATTATTGGGTATAGAACGAAAAAATGTTTATTTATGAGTGTTCGTAATAAGTACTGTGTCATATGTGAAAGAGCCTCAAACACAAAACAAATAGTTCGTGAGCACAAATGCTACAAAAATTGGACTTCTACTTCTACTTCTATGGAGTCAGATATTATAGTTGAAGGGTTCAAAGAAAGTTTAGCAATGCATAATATTATATATTATAAATTAATTGGTGATGGTGATAGCAGTGTTAGTAAAAAATTACAACTCGCTAAACCTTATGGTCCGGATATGATAATTCAAAAAATTGAATGTAAAAACCATGTCTTACGCAATTATATAAATCGTATGCGTGATATTGCGGGAAAAAGGAAATGTAGCAGTGGACAAATTGTGCCCGGAGACCAGAGGAATATTTTGCGAAACAATTTACAAAAGCTCCGTTGTGCAGTTACTAAAGCAATAGAATATAGGAAAGAAAGTAATGAAACACATAATGAAAAAGTTAATTTATTAAAATATGATATTATGAATGGACCATACCATGTTTTTGGAAATCATGTAAATTGTGCTGCATATTTTTGTAAAAAAAAAAATGAAAAAACAAATATAAACCATGTTCCAGATATGGAACAAAGTGGACTTTGGGCTGATATTTTGTCAGCAAGAAATCTATTAGCTCATCGTTCCTCAAGTTTGATTTATAATGTAAACAATAATTCGGTCGAAGGTTATAATAGCGTTGTTGCTAAATATGTAGGTGGAAAGGGATCTAGGACATTTTGGCGTGGCCGTTTTGGCGTGGCCGTTTTGGCGCGGCCGTTTTGGCGCGGCCGTTTTGGCGCGAAGCCCTTTTGGCGTGGCCGTTTTGGCGCGAAGCCCTTTTGGCGTGGCCGTTTTGGCGCGAAGCCATTTTTGACGGAGTTAAAGACTTCTTTTTATTTTTTTAAAATTATTATTTATTTAATTTAAAAAACTCAAACATTTAAAAAAATTCTATTAATTAAAAAATACAATCGATAGCTGATAATAGAGCTGAAAAACTTACTAAAAAAATATTATTATTGTAAAGAAATATTATGTGCTACACCTCTTAAATAGGTTAAAATGTCTCGAGTATCTGATTCTTGTACTATTTTTAGCAGTCTCTTGTCTGTGTCAATATATTTTTTGAGCTTTTTAGGGGGACTTCTTCCTGATTCCAATTGAAATAAATATGTATCCCTTCCAGCTTGAATTTTTCTTAAGCAAGTTATAAATGACCATAATGTAGGATGGACCATTCCCATTTCAACATTTATTCTTCGGTTGGCTGCCTCCGCATGATTATTTGTTCTGTGTATACCATTTAATACTCGCTCGTTTAAATTCCAAATTGATGGTGGAAATCTAGCGGGTCTCCGTCCACGTCCATTTCGATTTAATCTTCCGACATAATTATCTTCAAACCATTCAAGCAGGGGTTGAAGTTCTTCTGGTAAATTTTCAGCTAACGCGTCGATTGCTATGTCAATTTTGTTGATGCAAACAAATGCAATTGCAATTATCATTTTAACAGAAATAGAAAAATCTGCATCGTTATTATATTTTGATATAAGATGCAGTTCACCAATTTTTTTTTTGAAATTTTTTGTGAGATGAAAAAAACAACCATGAATAATAATATTTGGGAAATTTTTTTTCACTGCATTTATAGCAGCTAATTCATAGTCTAATGAAATAGATGTAGGACATAATTCAGGACATAAATTTATCAACATTTGAAACAGTTTTTCATACGTTTTTGTAAATTTATCAGGCAGTAATGCATATATAATAGGGTGTACACCATTTAAATATTCAGCTAGTATAACGTACACTTGAGTAAAAAGTGGAGGTGAAATTTTAAAAGTCCCATCTCCTAACCATGTTTTAGAATTTCGTAAAATATCCAAATATCGACGTCTTCCAAAAATTAAAATTCTTTCTGTCCCAGGCCCACTATCAGCTAATAAAAATTGTTCTACGTGTCCTTCAGATGGTGAATACATTTTATACACGTCGGGTATTTCTAGAGTTGTGAGATCCTTAGGTGCTTCAGGTACGGCTTGCGTATTATTTCGTTTTCTTCTAACTTGTTTTTTCAATGCATAATTTGATTGAATGGCCCCCTAAAAATATTAATTAAAAAATAAATAATGGAAATAGGCAGTTTTACAAAAGAACCCCTCATATAATAATCTATAGTATAACTAACTGTCCAGACACGGCGTTTCCCGCGTATTAATTTGTTTTTTGGCATTTTTGTAGGCCATGTATTATTGTTATTATGTATGAGAAAATATTATTATTTTTTTTTTATTTGTAAACCTAGCAATAGCAACGCATTGCCGTGTCCAGTTACCTATTATTGTATATATATTTTTACTATAGGTACAAATCTAAATTTACACCTACTTTAGCTGCTTCTGATAATCCAGCCAGGCATTCGTTTATGACATTTGATGTCGATTCCGTGGTATCAGCCGCACGTCGTTTAATATTGTTAACTGCTACATTTCCTTCAATTTTTGCTGCTTCGGAATCATGAGTGTGTTCATTTATTGATTTTATTATTTCAATATCGTCTACTGTTGTGTGTACTCGAGCTTTACAATCATTTTTATTTCGGCAACGCCAAAAACGGCGTTTTTTATCACTACTTAATGCATCAAATAAATACATATAACCATTATTCACTAAGACGTCTCGTTCATGTGTAGATTCAATTAATTTTGACATTATAAATAAGTATACAATATTTAAAGAAATATAAAACTCAATATTAATTGTAGAAAATATTTATGCCATACCTAGCGAGCGACGTTTTAGGTCCTAGGGGCTAGGACAACAACTAACTTATCGCACAACATCATTACGACAGTGACGAATGTTACTGAACAATAGACATACTTATCAACAAAACGTAGATAACCGAGCTATAAAATACGTTTTGACTGGTTTAATGGTTAATACATTTATTTTAATCTGAAACATTTACGCCAAAACGGCTACGCCAAATTAGTTTCACGCCAAAACGGACCCGCCAAAACGGCCACGCCAAAACGGCCACGCCAAAATGTCCCATTCCGGGTGGAAAGAGAATAAACTTTTCTCATAAAGGGTCATATCAAGCGAGGTGTACCGCGGCAGTGTTGTCATATAATGCAGGGGCAACATCTTTAAGTGTTTTACACAAAAAAATTTGCAATAAAAGTCCTGGTGTTTTTACCAAACGTTTTATAAATAGAAAACAGACGACGAAAATATGTAAAACAAACAGAAAACTTACATATGAACCAAGTAGTAGACGAGTTACCAAAGTTAGCTTACCTGCAGATAAAGACTATGGCAATTGTGAAGAAGATATTTGTAAAGAATTGGATATGGATGAAAATGATTACGAAAAACTTAAATTAGAATTTATGACGAATAAAATTATAAAAAATAGTAATGAAATCAAATTAATTGAAGAATCGACTAAACTTCAATCGGAATGTGAATTATGGCATAAAGAAAGACGAATTCGTTTAACCGCGTCAAACTTTGGAACCATTTGTAAACTTCGACCGGCGACGTCTAGAGCTAATACAATTAAGTCAATGTTGTATAAAACATTTTGCGGAAATGAGCATACAAGATATGGTATTGAGTGCGAACCCTTTGCGAAGACAGAGTTTCAAAAACTAACAGGGCTTAAAATTCAAGAATCTGGCCTTTTCATTTATGAACAACTACCGTTTTTAGCAGCCAGTCCGGATGGACTATTAGATGATAACGGTATAGTTGAAATAAAATGTCCATCTACAATTAAACAATTAACTCCAAAAGAAGCTATAGAAACTGGAAAATTAAAATTTGCAACTATTGACAATCAAGGAAATCTACAGTTAAAAAAAAGTGACAAATACTATTTTCAAGTTATGGGTCAATTACAAATAACTAAAAGATTGTTTTGTTATTTTATAATATGGTCACCTAAAGGTAATTATAATGCTTAAATTACAAATAAATATTGGTAATACTAATAACTATCGTAAATTGATTTCCACGTACGTATGTTTACAGGTATATTATACCAAAAAATTTTAAGAGATGATGATTTTTTCGAAACCAAAATGAAAACATTGCTAGAAAATTTTTATTTCCAAGCGATGTTGCCCGAGTTAATAGACTCAAGAGCTGATAGAAACCGTCGTTTACGTGACTAACCTTTATAGTTACGCTTAAGTTTTTTACTGAAGAAGTTTGTAAATAAACTATAAAAACATAATAATTTGACATTTTGACTTAATATTCATATTATATGGATCGCATTATTTTTTTCTCCAAGATATCTAACTTACAATACTATGTACATTTATGTGAGTGAAATAACGCTGAGTTCTAATTATACATGTGTATATATTTTAATAAATTATTATAGCATAAATACATAATATTAATATGTATAAATAGCAGTACGTAAGTAGTAAGTACCAAGTTGTAATGGTTCATCCTCTCTAGCACTCACTTTCCTCACCTTTTTTATAATATACATGTGTTTCGGTGTATGCGATTGATTGTGTTATTCCTTTTACGTAAAAAAAGTGATTATGTAATTAATGAGTAAAAAAATTGTGTATACAAAAATAGGTTTAGTTATTATAATATTATAGAATACTAAAATAACCTACTTTTGACAACAATATATTTTATGACCCACATAATTAGTCGTTTACGTTTAATTGTTTACGATGTTTGATGTCGACGGCGGGTCGATTCCTGGTAAATATTGAGAGAGATTAGTCTTACACACACTAAGGTTCGTTTACATTGCACACACTTACAAGTCAGTTTAATGCTATCATGTTAAATTGCCTATATTAATTTCCTTAAAACACGATCGACTGCAGCCCCCTTAAGATTATAAAGTTCACCTAGTACCTAATTATTACAGTTAATAATCGGAAACACAATATTTTATTTAACGGCTATAAATAATGATCTAACGATTCTACCGTACTTATTTTTTTATCACTAGTTTTAGCCAAAAATGATTGATTGGGTAAAAAAAAAATAGAAGTATACTTTCGTTAGCTAGAGTGATTGTAGAAATGTCGTCGTAGAATAGGGAGAACAATATATTATATTACAATAAATTATATATAATTCATCATCACTTCCGGACTGAGTGTGAATTTGTTCTTTTTTTTATGTGTACGTAATTTTTGTCGAGTAACCAAATTTAGATTCTTAAAAGAGAAATGAATTGTTTTAGATTTTGAGCTCAGTGAGGATTGTATTAGTTGTAAAATGAAATATTATATTGTTTTATTTGTATTGTTTTTATCTTTGTTCATGTTCACTTTTTCAGGAAACGTAAAGCTACAAAAGTTTCAAGAAAATCTCTCTATACATTTTAAATTGAACACAAATGGTAGAGTGAAGTGCAATCTTAAAATTTCCCAATAGTTTTTAGAAAATAAAGAAAAACTAAAATACAAATTTAATCAACCACGGTTTTTGATTATTTCCAAAAGATAACCTAGGTTATACCTATAGAATATTATATACTGCATTAAAAAATACTAATCGATATATAAATTATCATTGATGAGGTAGAGAGGTCCAATCCGTTGAATAATTCCATCACGTTCTAATATTATAACTTATAATTTATATACTATTTGAAGAGTGACAGAGTTAGTAATGTCTTACATTATTATTATTATTTTTGTCAAAAACAATACAATAAAATTATTATTTAAAACATTATTGCCAAATCAATGTATCAATAATTTGTGATACGCTGTGAAGAAAAACTTAATAATAATAAATAAATAATATTATATAAACAAGTACCTTACCAAATAATATGGTATAACGACATTAAAAAAAAATAATAATGAATACTTATACATAATATTATATATTCCATAAATTAGTTCAGATATAAGGGCTATTTTCTTAACATTTTTAGGTGTATATACAATGTAATATTCTCTAATATACCTCCTGTTAGTATGAAAAACAATACATAAATCAACAAAGACATTCATTGTAGTGCATTATATTATTACGATGATATAATAATTAATGAGTGTTCGCATGATAGCGCGTATCAAGGGTAATATTAAAAAAAAAACAAAGTTATAATAATGAATATTTTAAAACTAAACGAGTTATAACGTTATTAACTTATTTCGTAATTGCACACACATGCGTGTAGTCTGTGAAAAGTATTATATACTTTTCAGTTTTCACACACATTTGTACATAGTATTTTTTTTCCCTTTATATTATTTTCTATTTGTAAGTGTGTTTCTCAGTCTTGTTATCTGAAGGACGGTATTCGTAGACAAATGCTTATAAATAACACTAATACGACACGTGTTTTTATATATAACGACTATGTGACCGGAGACGACCATTTTTTTTATAAAAAAAATCGCAGTGTATTATAATCTATAATGATAATATTATATCATTCTACTTTTAAGGTGGACTATATCAGTCTATATGATAATGCGAGAGGATCGTCGAGACGGCAAAACAGAAAATTAATTTAGCGGACGGGTCACTATGCTGCTGGTTCCGGCCGTTGGACAATACATATATTTTATAATATCATGTTATAAATAGCCTCGCTCCACACTTCTATACTCGCGAAGTTTGAAAATGGTGTATTATTATTGTTGAAGATTCAAAAACAATGATAAATCGAAAAACGATTCGGTGCGGAGCTCAATAACCGCTGCACTCGCTCACATTTCTTCTAAAATTTTCACGACCGTGTAGGTTTTAGTTTCGCTCGAGGAAATCGAAAAACTGCTACGCTTGAAAGTTCAAAGGCTCGGTGTGTTAAACGTTTCCTATGAACGTATATTATATTATATACATAGTGCAGACGCTTTACGGTACTAACTTACCCGATGACCGTTGGGTGTTGTCTGGCCGAATAGTGTATTATTATGGTAATCGCAAGTGCAGAAGAAAAAGAGAAACTGTCGTTGTAAGACCAATAAGACGGATTCGTTTCGCATTTAAAGAGACCTGTTTAAATCTAGTGGAACGATAATATTATATCGTATGACGTTTGACAGGGTGAAGATGTACGGTTGGGACTTGAAAGTCCTATACCAATGTATATTAGCCTAGTAGCGATTACCAAAAAAAATAATTAATTTCATGAAATGATATCTGTATACCTATATGACGTTCAATTGCCGTCCTTTTTTTACTTCTTAAACTCTTCGAATATTTTTAAATGAAATATTACAACGAAAATATTACACATGTACCAAATTTATTCGAAACTCATTCGCCCGAATTAAAATGAATAATTAGGTATTGTACAGTCACAAAACATTAACTCGACACATAATTAGACCGGAGCTCGACGGCGCAGTAACACTCATAGTGAAAACGTCGTGACAACATAATAGTATAGTAATAATTTATAATCAGATTGGCGGCGTCACCGAGTTATTCAGAAGAACACAACCTGAACCTACCTATCATGTTCAGTATTTCAGTGGTGTAAAATCTCTTGGGACCTCTACAATTTAACGATTAACAAAAGATATTCCGCCATTTAATTATAACGTAGAGTCAATTAATTTGACAATCGTACAAAACGTGTCGAGGAACACAATAAACATATTTATAAAAAAGTTTGATAAAAATAATGATTGAGTAGTTTGACATAAATTATTATGAGAATGAAAAAAATTAAAAAAAAAATAAAATCAAAATGAAATATATAAATAATTTGTCGTTTAATTTACATTTTGTATTTGGGGGACCCAGGCCACTCTATCTATACGCCACTGATATATATATATAGATTATTGTACCTATAATACTGCACGGGAGGTGCATGTGCGTCCGAATATTATATTTCCCCGGTCTGGATGGGGTGGAGGGAGAGACCGAAACGACACCGACCCGTAAACCCACACTTCTCCGGAATTTGACCGACCCTACTTTTTTTTTTTTGCGTATTTTGCGTTTTTGTTTTTTTTCCACTTTCCGTTGTGGCTCACGATAATTAATTTCGCTCACGTTAGGTTGTATAATATTATTATAACCGGCCGATGGCGATTACGCTCGCGCGTTCGTTCGTGAGTCGCTCACGCCGCGGTTGTGGTACATAATATTGTTGTTATTATTATTATGATTATTCAGACACACGTGCGGCTCGCGGGGGCGTATCGTATTATATAAGCGTACACCAGTATTATAATAATAATAATAATATGCATTATGCACGTATACAGCGGAGTTTGGGTCTGTTTCGGGGACGGGAGTAGAAAAAAAAATATGACGAAAAAAACAATTTGCACAGTAGGTATAACCCATATACAGTACACATATACACATATAAACTATAAACATATATATATATATATATATATGCGTATATACATACCATTCGTGTGTAGCATGCGCGTCACAAATTGAAATCACCGCCGCCACACCATCGCAACTCGTAAAAACTTTTGATCGTATCTGCAGGCGGCGGTGGCGGACGTAAACACGAACAGAAAACCTACGAGAGCACGGAAATGTATGTCATCGGAAATTTCTTTCTGATTTTTCGCCTTTTTTTTCGGCGTACGTAGAAAAGTATAATTTTCATACCCTCGCTACCGACCGTCCGAATCAACTTGGCCGGTCGCTGCCCCGCACGAACAAACATTGAAGTATTATAATAATTAGGTACACTCTGTAGGAAAATTCCCAATTTCTATAGCTTTCTTAACACAGATTTTGAATTAGTCACTAATGAATTCAATCTTGAAACATTTATTTATCGTTTTTCGAAAGTTTATGTACTTACGTCTTTTAGGTGATTTTTTTATTACATTTTTTTCGATATTTTTAATATTTTGCATAATTTAAAACTTTTCACGCACATTTTATGAATTACTTTTTAATTTTTATCTTTTGAATATCTTATACGTTCCGTACGCCCTTCGTACTTAATTATTTATTAATAGCATCTCTAATTTGAAATATTTTACACTTCATAGATTTTTATATTTTTTAAATTACGATTCTTATTGTGCATATTATACTGAAGTTTTTTGAAATTTCGATGAATTTATAAATATTTTAATACACTAAGCTCACAATACTAATTATAATCATTCAGTCGCTACAGTTCTGCGGTATAAGGTGGACGTCAGGGACAACTATTTAACTATTTTTATGTACCTATATAGTGGAACAATGATAATAATCACAATAAAACCAAAAAAAAAAAAACGATTTATTCTCAATGCAATTAATAATATTATTATAAATCACGTTTTGCAAAAGAAAAAAAAATTCAATTAATAACTGAAAACAATAATAGGTAAGTATGTATAACATAATAATATATTATTGTAAACAGGTTTAGGTATATAGGTTATATGAGTTTAACCTAGTAGTTTATCCGTTAACAATACATAACACAATAATATTTTAATCGATAAACAAAACGTACAAATTTCACGATTGGGTTTCAATCGTTTTTTGGTAGTTATAATATAAACATAATATTATGGTATACAATAATGTCGCGTGGCCTTGTTACACATCATTATAATATTAATATTAATTATTAACAATACGATATATAATTATCATCGTAATATTATATACGACGGAAGTAAAAACGCGGTTTCTAGGCATCTAAAATAATATTATTTTGATCATTTTTAAGCTAATTTTTTCAAAATATACACACAGGGCGTCTCTTTCGCGATTGTAAGACTACATGAAAACCGAACAAAACAATAAAACGTCGCACGGTAGGTGAAACGCCGTCGGCTTACGTAAATCGGGCAGTGATGCAATTAAGTCATTATACAGTTTTCGGGACAACAAACCACTTTGCGTGCTATAATACGATACTATTAAGTATTATGTACAACAACGGGGTTAATTTCGGCGAATTTCGCGTTTTTAAATTCAAATTTTTTGTAAACTTGATTGTAATGACGTAATACATTGATATTTGAAATCATTTTCACACATGACAAAAATGCCATAAACACGTGTTCTTGTTATTTAAAAAAAATATATATTTTTTGGAAACGAAATATAACGATTTAAAGAGTTACCTGAGCTCGGTTTTGTATGAACAATTTAAGACGAGAATAGTGTTGAAACAGAACAATAGATATTGTTTTGAGATGGCTAATGCATTTTCTCTTACAAAATCAATATTAGTATAAATAAAAAATGAAAATTTAAAACGACGTGCTTATACATTTCTCTAATCCGATTCCACGACGAGGACCGACAACGTTGAATGTTGATCGCAGTGGTTAACGAGTATAGGCAATTCGCGATGGACGTTGGTATACAATATTTTATAATATTATGATGACTAACTATGTTTTAAAAAAAATATGATTTGCAAAAAACCACGAGTTTTGAGCACACGACAACAAAATAGGTTGGATTTTAAAGGAAAATATTATTATTTATTTTCATTTACTGTTGCTTCGTCGTCAATCATTTTGGGCCTGTACCTACAGAATTTTCGATTTTTTGACAATCAAAATTAATCTAACAATATAAAATTTAAAAAAAAAATTAAAAACCTTTCAGTAGTTTAATTTAATTGTAATACATTGAAGCTGAACAGCTATTGGACTACCCATAATTATCGGGAAATCAAGTTGATTTTGGTGAAATGAAATTCAAATTTAAGCAGATCAGTCGATGGTCAATTAACTATATACACACACAGACGCCAGGCAGAATTCGGCAGCTGATAGATGGAAATAACTAATCGATGTTACGTTTGTATTGATCAAACCATACGAAGCTAAGCATTGATTATGCTGGACATATATTTTTGGTGTAAATCAAGCAACGGATTAGCGATCGCTATCATTTATTAGAGTTTGGGCACGTGGAGCTTGGAAAGGTTGGTGGGTGGGTAGCTAGGAGACCATGGGATGTAAAAGTTTCTTATCTCTGTTTGTATAATAGTAATAATATGTGTGCTATATCGCCTCCATTCCCGCTGCTCTTGAAAACGGTTTTAATTAATAAACAGTCGACTGCCGTATAATAGATTTATCGCAAACACAAACATTTTCGAACGCGAGTTGCTATTGCGAAATCGAAAATGGTTTATAACAATATATTCAGTACACACACGGGAGTACGAATACAATCTCGATACCTACCAACAACATCAGTGAGTTTTGTGTAAAAACGTATGTAGATAAAATAAAAACAATAGTTTTTACAAAAAAGAAAAGAAAATCGGTCGAACCTTCACTTTTAACAGCAGCTCATTTGTGGTTGTTATTAAACTTGTATCAGTTGTATCACATATAAACATGTATAGCACCTACCTATAAATTGCGTATACGCGTGTATTTTAAATTTCGTATACCATTACTAATTTGAAACTTAGGTAACTATTAATGCGATATATTTGTATTTTGTAATATCGGGGCCTGTTTATAGATTGGAACAAATTTATCTTTTCTACAAAAACGTTACAGTTTCAAAAACTATTGTGTCGTAATTTTTGAACATGTTTGAAAAAAAAAATATATATATATATACAAACACTTAACAATTGAACATTTTAATTAATTTTTATGTTTCTGTGTTAATCTTATCAAGGTACATCATGTTATAGGTATGTTCTTGTTAACAATTAACTATAGGATTCAACATGATATTACGGTATCACTTAATAATAATTATAATATTAATAATAATAGTAATAATAATAAATAGGTAGTATCATCAATAACACAATACGTCATTTAATGTACACTAGTAATCGGGCCGATTTGACTCAAAGCTGGACCCGCGACAATTGGGTCGGTGGTATGCAAAGAAAAATGCCTGTACGACAGATACTCGGGTGGAAGTGGCTGTTCCCTTTTCGTATCTTCTCTTTGTTTTTTTATTTTCAGATACCCAAGCACGGACACCAACACAATAAACACGACACAACCCAAACAGCTGCCGATGATCAGACCTAACCGCCTCGTGAGTATTGAGCTCTTGTGATGTTCGTCGGAGTAAAATGCCATGTCGCCTTCCAACGTCTTTACTTCGGTGCAACGACTACTTTGAGATCCGTCCTGTAGATGGTGCGAACTATTCAGTGGTATCCAATTTCCAAGGCCCAACACACATACCAAGTACCGGGTCTCGGGTTTCAGGTTATCCAAGAGAGTAGTCTGAGTATTTTTATCAAGAAATTTGTTCATGATCTGTCAAAAAAAAAAAACAAATAATGTAATTGTAGAATCATACATAGTAACTGCCTTTATAATCATTGGCGACGGTAAGCGATTTCGGACTTACATTAGGCGTTACGGCGACTGATGAAATGGCCGCTGCTGGATAATCTGGATCTTCGATCGGATAATACGCTACTCTGTAACCGTGTAGGCCTGTGTGATTTCGCCCTTTCCACGACACAAATATCGAGTACGGTTGAATGTCTTGAATTGCGAGTTTGAGTACGACGGGCATGGCACAAAATGCAGGAGGTTCAAGTTCCATGAACTTCCGGCCTCTGAGTTCCAATGGATATTGACAGATCAAGCCTTTCGTGCTTAAATCAGACGTCAATTTTTGGTGGTCTCTTATCCATTCCCATAGCTCTTGTTGGTCGCAGTCACAGTTTATTGGATTTTCTGAAAAGTAAAAGTTCAATGGATTAACAATTTGATAGTACATCTTTATTCAAGTATAAAAATTATGCACGCTATCTATTTTTATTTACCTTCTGTACGCAAACTTTTTATTTGTGTTTCCAATGGCCTTAGAGCGTTTATGGGCAAGTTTTTGAAATTATTTTTACCTAAATCTAATATCTTGAGTTTTTTTAGTGATCGAAAAGCGTCTGGTGATACAAATGATAGCGAATTTCCGTATAAATATAGTTCAGCCAAGCTTTCCAAGTTTCGGAACAATCCTTTGCTGATTTTTTCTAGTTGATTGTATGAAATATCAAGCACCTGCAACGATATCAAGTCTGAAGAAAGGTCTTCAATTTCTTTAATTGAATTCCTTGACAAATTCAACAATCGCAAATGTGATAGTCCTTGTAGTCTTTCTTGGGGCAGAAATTCCATGCGATTATTACTCAAGTCGAGCGTGTGGAGTTCTTCGAGAACGCTGAACGTGCCGGGTGATATTTTTGATATTTTATTACCAGATATGAACAAACGGTGAAGATTTGTGAAAGACAAAAAATCGTTACTGGCCAGAACCGATAAATTCGTTCCACACACGTGGAGTTCCTTTAAATCGATGTTCTCAATTGTCATGGGTTTTGTAGTTTCACATATTTGGCCCAGTGGGTTGTGGGTGAGATTCAAGAATTGAAGACTCTTGAGCAACGGAGGCACTTTCCTGAAATGATTATTGGACATATCTAGACGTTCTAGTGACTGAAAAAAATTGAGTGGCAATGACGACAGTATGTTGTTTGCCAAGTTCAAATCAGTCAAATTCGTGAAAAGCGAAGATGGAAATCCGGCGAGTATTTGAACTCGATTTTCAGAGATCGAGAGGCTTTGAAGGTTTTTCATACTAGTTAGTTTCGTCATATCTAATTCAGTTAACATATTTCGGGCCACGGATAGTTTTTGCAAGTTCTCGCAGTTCGCCAATGTAGCGTAGGGCATGGTGTTGAAATCGTTCCCATCTAAAATGAGAATTTTTAAGCTTGTCTGTCTTTTGAACAAATCTGCAGGTAGTGCTGTCAGTTTGTTGTCCGACAAAGACATTGAAGAGACTTCGAGGTTGAATTTAAATGTCGTGGCTAAAATTTGACCTATGTTACAATGGTCTAAATACACATTCTTTACGTTTGGCAGGTACTTTAAGACAGTCGAATTAAGGCCATCTAAATTGTTGTAAGATGCATCCAAGACAGTCAACGTAGGCACGTCTACTTGGAGTAACGCATCAGCAAATAAGTAGTTGTGTGTCAGGTAAAGTTCGTTAAGAACGTTTAAATTTGAAAATGTTCCGTTTTCAATGTTTCTTAAAGAGCAATTGTTAAGATATAAATTTTGAATGGGTAAATCTTTTTGAAACATGTACTTATGCAATTTCGTAAGTGGGTTGTTGGACAAGTTAAGACCCGTTAATTTTTTCAGCGCCGCGAACGAATTTGCGTCTATTCGTGATATACGGTTATCCGTCAGATGCAGTTCATTCAGACCTCTGAGTTCTGCGAACGTTTTAGAAGAAATTTCTTGCAATTGATTGAAACTAAGATCTAGAAACACCAATGCTTGCATCGACTCGAATGTCCCCAGTTCAATGTGCTCAATGGAATTATTGTTCAAGTAAATCCTTTGTACTTGATACAAGTCAGCAAACAGGGATTTATCAAGTTTGGTTAGTTTGTTGTGGCTAAGCCACATTACTTTTAGATTGGATTGACCTTGAAGTGACTTGTTATTTAAACTGGCCAACACGTTGGAATCAATTTGTATAGACACTAATGATGGAGCGTCATGTAGGAATACGTCGCCTAAATGAGTGAGGACGTTGCTTTGGAGATTAATGTGTTGTAAACTTTTGAGCGTTTTGAATGCACCAGATTCAACTTCCTTTATCGCGTTGTTTTGCAAATGTAATTCCAATAATTCAGGTAACGTCTCGAACTGTGTTCGTAATATTTTCGATAGTTTATTATTTTGCAATCTGAGTTCTTTAAGTCGACTGTTGTTTCGGAATGCACCGTTTTCGATGTTGGAAATGTGGTTGTTGTCCAAGCTCAATGATGTAAGTTTGTTACAATAAAAAAATACATGAGCATCTATGGTTTCTATATAATTGTCACTCAAATAAATTTGCATAAGATCGGGTGAACTTGAAAAAGCGCCAGATTCGATTATTCTTATAGCGTTTTGTTGAATGTATATAACAGATAACTTCGGAGAATTGGAAAACGAGTCACCCGAAATCTCCAGTATATTGTTTTCGGAAAGAAATAGTTCTCTGAGCTCGGGAAGATTAGCAAACAATCCACTAATGTAATGAATATGATTATGGCTTAAGTCAATTGTCCGTAAGTGAATGTTGTATTTGAACGTGCTACAGTCCATGAACACTATTTTGTTGCGACTAATGTCGATACTTTCGAGTTCAATCAGCGTGCTGAAACCTCGTTTGTGTATGCTTTCAACCGAATTGTAGTAAAGAGACAACATCTTGAGCTTAGGAAATAATCGGAATGCATCTTCAGGAACAGATTCAAAATTGTTGAAGCTCAAGTCTAGCTGCACCAGACTTTTCATGAATGAATAACGGTCGTCGTGAATAGATGCTATTTCGTTCCATGCAATTCTCAAGGACATGAGACGCTCTAACCGTCTGACGGCGGACGTTGGAAAAGTTTTTATCTTGTTATCAGACAGATCGAGCTCAGTGAGACTATTTTCCAGGCCAGCGAATGAGTACTCTGATATTTTAATTATTGAGTTACCCTTGAGGTTGATTTTTATTAACTGTAAGCCAGAGAACGCATAACTACCCAGTTCAGCTATATCGTTGGATTCAATATCAATTGTCTTTAACAGTGTCAAAGCATTAAACGCTTTTTGCGGTATTTCCCGTAGTTTACCGGATAGCATTGAAAAAGACTCTAAACTTTTAATGTTGTTCAACCCATCTTCTTCAATTACAGACAAGTTGGAGTGGGATATTTGAAGCTGTCTGAGTTTGGTGTCTGGAGGAAATAGATCGGTCGATAAGGAAGATACGGTGGATTCCAGGTCGTAGATGCTTAGTGACTGAATCAAGCCTCCAGTCACCGAAGACAGTGCGTTGCGCACACCCGTTCCAGTAGCTCCTGGACATTCGAGAAAAATGCCGTCTTCAAAGTCGTAACAGGAACATGACTGGTCCGACAGCTGACTCGGACACGTGGTGATTATAATTGGTTTCGGTGATTGACCACCGACGGAGTAAGCATGGAACCAGAGGAATATGCATATCCACAGTAACGGCCACCAGTCATTGGATCTCATCTCATCGCCATGTCAACAAGGACGACCTTATTGCAGCTTGTGCGTAATCGTTCTGAAAAAAATAAAAAAACATTAAATTATTAGTACTATATTTTACGACCTAACCATTTTTTAAACAACTGAATTTTGAAAGAAACTCCATAAATTTTAGTTCAATACGTTTTATGATTGTGTACATGATATACAATTTTACTGTTATCTATAGAATGCTTTGCAGTGTTTCTCTCTAAAAGTAGTTGAATTTGTCTCCGAAGAATGATTTATCACTCATTCGTTTATACATTGAAAATGTTATAAAAAAAGTATTGCAGTAATATGCAGATAATTTTTTTTTTAATTACAGACGATGATAGTAATCAAAAAAATATACTTTTCAAGAGAACCTCAATAAATGATCATAACATTTTAAATTAAAAATGTTATTTATAGAGTGATAGCATTGTAAGTTGTAACACGGTATATTATAATATACTATTTAAATTAGTGTTAATGTTAACTAAATAAACTGTTATATGCCACGGATAAAAATCAGCATTTGTTTATCTTTAAGTCAAAAAACGATGAGATTAAATTTATTCTGAATAATAAAATGTATAGTTTTTTATATTATGTTCATTTTTCTTACTTTTTCTTATTTTTATTTATATATAATTTGTTTATAGACACAAATATTTACTAACTGTCAAGTTTTGAATGCATATATTATTATATTATATAGTTCATGCAATTTCGAACCTTAAATTGATGTGCTTAAATGTGCTATAATCTTTAAGTAAACGATATCAAAATAAATAATAAAGTAATTAAATTATTGGGTATTGTAGTATTATTCAATACTATTATTTCAACAATATTTATTGGTAGTATTATTACTGTTAAAGTATCAAATTTAATTGAATAATATTTTCAATCACAAATTAAGAAGAAAAAAGTTACTCAGTTAACTTTTATTAATACTTAAAAATACTTATTATGTAAGTATTCGTTTTGGTACAATTTAAATTTTTTCAATAGTTTTCCCAATCTTATCAGAAATAAACTAATGTTATTAATGTATATTTAAAATTTAAAAAAAAACATTTTATTTTAACTATTTCTTTGCATTGTTTTGATGTATGTAAATGTGTTTAATGTGCACACAAATACATTTTATGAATGAATATCCATGAATTTATTAAGTATTCGATTCAGTGCAAAAGAAAAATATCTACTAGAATGCATAAAAGTTAATTTTATTGGTCGCGAATGTGTTTATTTGTATAGTGTAGTCTGGTGTAGAACGAGCACTACAGTTTGAACGCGAATTTTAATGTAATTTGCTCCCGATACACACTTTCCGTAGCGTCGCAGAAAACCCAAAACAAAGTTTCCAGCGCCGATAAAGGTTAAATAAATGCAAAAAGCGCTGTCTGTACATACGTATCTTAAGTTGGGATCAATTTGAATAATGAATCCAAAGTTGTGTGAAACCGAATAAGTGCAAAGCGGTGAACCCGAACCGAGACTGGGACGACTGCGACTGTAGTGAGTTCGTATATATACGAGATTAAACTGACTATCAAATGTCGAAGTTTTAGTAGCGCAAAGCGCGACGGAAGGCCTTTGGATTTTTAGCTATTACCTACTCCCCGTTTCGGCGAGCGCACGTACATATCATATTATTTTACGTACCTACAGCCGGGGTTTCTCTATCGGCCACTGAATTATATCGGCGGGCGAGTGAGCGCAAGAAAAAAATAAATAACAAGAACGAAGGGAAAAAAGCGTATCGTTTCGCTTTTGGCTGAATTTCCACGTCGTCTTCGTCGTCATCGTCCGTCTCCACCAAAGGATAGTGGTTTATTATTGCATTATAGTCTTTCGAGCTTAGTATAAAAACAAAAAAAGGCTTCTGCTTTTTCCGCAGAACCCTTTATGAGAACCCGTCCCACCGCTGAGTGAACGGAAAACTAAATTTTCTTCACCGTATTCTCCAGGGGCGAAAACCGATGGTTTTCGTGTGACGACAACGGCGGCGCGCCCTCGTCAGCTGTGGGTCGCTGTACCCTATATGTATAATAATATATAATACGAGTATATATATTGTATACCTGCGGCAGAGGTGGTTGGGAGCATTTTATATTTCGTACGAAACATTTTGCACCGCATATTTCTATCGCAGATATTATACCGTGAAACGTACGTACTTTTTATTTTTTTTTCACCCTACTCTCGAACGCCGTGAATTTTATTTCGGTATTTTACCATCTGAAAGGAACCGAACGACGTATGAAACTCACACCACCACCACCACAACCTCCACCACCGTGGCGCTACCCCTCCATCAACACGTATATGTAATATATGTACACATTATTTTTTCTACCTCGATGCCGTTGCGGACGCGTATTACTACTACAGCAGCCACCGAGTTTATATTTTCTTCGACGTTTATGATGTATAAATATTAAAACCAGCAAGCGAATCATGGACAATATTTACTAGACAAACACGACCGAACGGCGGGACACATAATATTAAAATATTATATTATGTATAGGCGTACAGGTGCACGTCTGCAGTGTTACATATTATTATACATATAGGCTAGTAACTTAGGTTATGTATACATTCTCGCACACCCGGATAAAATTTAAATGAAAATCCCGTGTAAATAAAATTCAATAAATTTAATAAATTGTTTAGGCGGCTAGGGACGCGTATGTATATTATAGTCGTGATATTTACACACGTCACACCCTGCGAGTGTATGCTGTATGATATAAGTGTGTGCGGCAGGGTCGTCAACCGTGTGATGTGTATGTAGTGCGGTATGACTGGTATGAGTATGTTACCTATTATTATTATCATGTAGGTAGGTGTAGGACCTAGGTATACCCGTGTATATCGTTCTTAATACATTTATCTGCAACTGAATTTATTATTAACTGTAATCGCAAATACCGCGGCAGGCTATTTCGCAGCACCGTTAACGATGATACGATCATCGAGGCGACTGCAAAATAGTATGCAAATATCGCGACAGAAACTAGGTGGCACACAGAAAAATAAAAACAATAATACAGCGATTCCCGGCGGTTCTCACGTTTCTGCACGCAGTGAACGTTTTTTATTTTTAAATTATTATTATTTCGTAATTTTGTTTGTTTTTTATTTTACCCGCCTGTCCACGGAGACTGTTTAATTATTGTTTCCTTGCACGTTTCCCGTTCGATACATATACATACATAATATTATATAAATGCGTATTCATAAATCAAAATATTGTTTAGTAATATTTCATCCGGAACGGTACGAGAGACGGATATTTCAATTCGATTTCCCTTCCGTACCAGTAGAAATTCAATTTTTCACGTGTTTTTATATGCGTTTTTTAGCGCTTGCTTTATTAAAAGAAATAAACCACGAAACAAAATAAAGAAAAATGAAACACATTTTAAGAAAATGTCATTTTTAAATTAAAAAATATACATAATATATATTTTGTAGGTTTAAATGTTTTTTTTTTTCTACTAATGAACTGTATACTGCAGTTGTAGACGCCTATAAGACCTATGGAATATTTATCAAAAATCTATTGGTTTAGGAGGGGGGGGGCGAGATGGAAGAGGAGGCTAAAACTAATGAAAAGCACACAGATCTCGACAAATTCAAAACTCAATTACTCCCAACTCAAAAGTACCTACGTCTGCACTCTGCACTGTAGTAATTAAAATAATAATAATGATTTCTCTAAAACTGTCTCACAGACGAGTACAAGTTTATATCCACTAATTATTTTCTACATAAAAATCTCAATAGGCGTCGCTTTAATCAACTAAAAGTTATTCCTGTCTATCATATTGTGCGATCTCGTCTTACGCATGTATTATTGAAAATGTATACTATCATAATATAATTTAATTCCCTATCGCATAAGCAAATTTTCAGTACTTACATATTGTTACATAATATTATATTATTATGTAGTAATAATAAACGCGTATATGGTCGGCATTCCACGGCAATACGGTATAATGTAATCATAATAATTAGTAATCAAGTATAAACATAATGATATTTGCTTGTTTGGTCAACTATAATACTATTTAGTTACACTGTCAATTATGTTGTTATAGTGTTATTACTCAATTATCATATTATAATAGGTACATGAAATAAAAACGACGATTTCGCCGATTATCATGGTTATAATGCGTGTTATTATTATGTTATTATTACGTTTTTGCAGTCAGGGAACACAAGGATATTAACGAGAGCGTCCCGTCGTTGCGAGTTTGGTCGCGTGCGGTCTAATAATAATATAACGTCGTAATAATAAATTATGTATATACCGTACAAAAGACATCGGTGGCATCGTCTCGCCGGCTAAAAATTTCGTCGGAAACGCGCAGTTATTCGGGGACCGGCCATCGCGGGATATAATAATGATAATATAATATATTATTATCGCCTGTATGCGCCGACGAATTTATAACGACGACGATAATATTATAATAATATATTATGGCATTGTTATTGACTATAATATAGTATGTTATAAATGCTGTGAAGCATATACGTTTGCAAGAAATCTCGGAAAAGAAAAAATCGGGGCTACGACGACGGGGATATCTGTTATAAGCAAATATAAGCAATTATATGCAAACATTACGAATCGCGCAACCAACATAATACGAATATTCGAGGCTGCGCAAAATGATCGTTTTTTTTTTTTTTTTTAACTCTAAGTCTAGTTGTAATAATGCAATTGAGCATTTAGTGTGAGAAGTAAAATTATTCAATTTTGTCTAATTTGTTTTCTTCGCTTCACTAGAGAAACGGTATATTTTATAGATACATTAATAAAAAGTAGACTTGATTAAAAGCTATTAATTTACACGTTCAATTGACGTAATAATTAAATATATCGCTAATATGCATTAAAAGTAGCTGGATTTCGAGTCACTTATTTATTTAGAGCTGAAGACAGTAAGATCGTGAAGGTACCTAGTAGCCAT